GCCGGGCCGGGCCTCCCCGGCTCCCCCCCGAAATCTCCGCTTGCGCTTTGAAAAGTCCGTCGTTTCCACGTTTCGGTAGACGGCGCCGCCTCTGAGCGCGGCACGTGGAGCCGCCGCCGCCCCCCAGCCTGCCCCGGACTGGGGAAAAGTAGTTACAAACTAATTCGTAAATAAAATTTACTAACCTGCCGGTGCCCTGTGTTCCGTGGGTTCCTTATCCCCTCTTTAGCCATTACTAAACGCTGCTGGAAATGGGCACAACTCCACTGGGCGGCCTTTCACAGCGAAGCTGAATCCTTGCAATAACCATTATTTCAGTTGAGGAATAACTGCCGCCTTAGCCTATTTCTTGTTTGTGTAATGGCCAAATTAAATGGAAGTTTTTACCCCAAGCAAAACTTTTCAAACTTGGTAGACAGTTTCTTACACAGTTGTAACGGGACAATGCGCTGTACACACTGGGCACGAGCTCGGCCCCCGCGGCGATGCCTGCCGGATGCCCACCCAAAGCACAAGCGCCCCCCGAGCTCCGCACCGCGTCCCTGACGCTGGCAGCACCACCCCAGCTGCTGCATTTACATCTAACGTGGTTGTGGCCATTGCAGCACCCACTGTTCCCCGTTCGAGACAAAGCAATGTGGAACCGCCCCAAACCCTTCCCACTGAAGCACTCCCCAGGGCCGGTTTGCTCCTCACTTTCTGAAGGAAATCAGGAACTGCCACTCTTATTCTCCTTTTCCCGTGATTGCCTACACAAACCAGTGCATGTGGAGCGGGTTTTGCCCTTTAAACTTTCTCTTTCAGAAAATTATTTGCAAACGCATTTGCCATATGCCCAGGCAGATGCTGCGCAGCGTGACACGCAACACTCGGGAAAGCTGAAGATCTTTATTATTCATCCGCTTGGCTCTTTTACTGCCTTTTGCAATCAGCGGGTTCCTCAAGACAAGAGCGCAATCTTTTAGGTATAAGAGCCACCCAGCAAACACCAATGGTGGTACCACATAAGATAAGCCAGAAGCACCAATAAGGATCTAAAAAACACAAACGTTGCCAGCCCTGCTCTCTCTAGGTCCTATGAACCTGTCCCGGTGATCATTGCCGATTAATAAAACCTCGTGGCAGCCAGCGAGGAAGGGAGGCGTTGCCTCAGTTTTAGACATGGAGCAGAGAGAGAAGGCTGGCCGTGCCTTGGAGGGCTGCCCTGAGGGGACACGGGTGTCCCAGCCCCAAAGACAGCCACCAAACAACACACCCACCACTCTACGGAGCAAAAAGCTTTTCAGTGCCTTCCCTTCAATGCTATCAAAAACACACCTGAAACTCCTGGCAGGACAAGGGTGCAAAGGGAGAGCCTAAAGTCCAACGCAACGCTCTCCGTTAGGTTAATGTTTGCTAAATTACAGGAAGCACAAAGAAATGGTCCAACAGATATCGGCAAACTTGTGCAAGACAAGAATCGGTTCAAAACTGCTAACACTCCCAGCCCCATCTGACGCGTCCACCTCCCCGCAGCCAGAGCCACAGAGTCGGTCTCGCTCCTGCCTGCACTTCGGCAGAGGGATGGGTCTGCTCCTGAAGATTTTCATCCCCTTGCTGGGAGTGGCACTGGCCTTTTATTTTTATTCAGCACCTGAGAATTTCAGCGAAGGTAAGTCACTGGAAAAACAAGCTTTAAAACCACAATAGGGGAGGCTGCTGCCAGAGACGCAGCGTTTGCCCACGCAGAAGGGCACGGGCCATTAAGGGCCTTTCAGAGCACAGCTGGAAGAGCCAACGCGCAGGAGGGCCGAGCGCTCGGAGGGGAGCGCAGGCAGTGCCGGTGCAAGGGGTCAGAGCACCCTGTGCCGCGCTGGAAAGCTCATGGGATTACGCTGGGGTCTGCCAGGACATAAGGTAAGTGTCTGATCTCAGCAAATGATTAATTTGGGAAACATGCAGCTACCCACTTAAAGCATTTAATCGTTTTATCAGTCAACTCTCGCCATTTCCAAAAGCCGCTCCCAGACCAGGCTGGATGCCGAGCTCCAGCTTTGCACGTGCTCCCCACCCGGCTGGGATTAACGACCAGGCTCCAGTCGGGGTCTGCGTGAGAGGTGCACACTGCAGCCGGCAGTGTTGCTGCCCGCAGCCCCCTGTGCCCGAAAGCGAGGGGCAGCGGGGGCAGAGAGGAGCCGCGGTACCCGCCTGTGGGGAGATGGTGTGGGCTGCGCCGGCTCTGAGCCCTGTGCTCTCCTTCCCAGAGATGCTCCGGGGGAAACGGGTGATCGTGACAGGAGCCAGCAGCGGCATTGGGGAGCAGATGGCGTATCACCTGGCACGCATGGAGGCCCACCTACTGCTCACGGCACGGACGGAGGCCAAGCTGCAGAAAGTAAATGGCAAGCAAAGCGTGCCGGGCAGGTGAAACACATCTGCAACCCAGAACCCCACAGGCAGGCAGAATGCAGATATTCACTCCATCTCGGGCACGCAAGGATGCCAGATACCCTACACATCCAGCCCAGCACTTCCCCAGCATGAGCCCGTTCTAACACACACACCCCACTGCAACAAATGTGTTTTCAATGCTGACAGCACAGCACTTCTTTCACTGCAGCCTTCAGCTGTGAATTCTGATCTCCACCACCAAGGACAACACTAGTCTGCCCAAGTCCTGGTCTGATCAACCCTTACCCTTTCTCCAAGTCCCTGTTTTTGCATCCCGTATACAACAGAATCATATTCCTAAGCAGTCATATCCCTATTTATAAATACTATATCTTTGGCTCAGATGTGTCATTGTTTAACTCTGCAGCCAGAAATGTTTCTCTGAGGAATGTGTCTCTTCCCATGAAGCGTTTCCAGCAGGACAGGGAGATGCACTGCCCATCCGCCCAGAGACAGCAACAGCCTTCATGGGTTGGGAGGGCATCTGTGGAGGGGGCTCCATTGCCAACACCGCTGTCGCTGTCACTGCAGGTTGTGAAGCGATGCCTCGAGCTGGGGGCCGCCTCTGCCCGCTACGTGAGCGGCTCTATGGAGGACACAGCGTTCCCCGAGGTGGTGGTGAAGGAGGCTGAGAACACCTGGGGTAGGTGGTGGGGAGCTGCCCTTCCTCACGCCCCAGCACACCCCCTACTACGTACTGGGGCCATCCCAGCCACTGAGAAGCTGCTTTGGTTTGCAATGCCCGTTGCTAATAGCAAACATGCTCTGCTTCCAGGAGGCCTCGACATGCTCATCCTAAATCACATTGGTTACTCCTACTTCAACTACTTCAATGGGGACGTTGGGCATGTACGAAAGCTCCTGGAGACCAACTTCCTCAGCTACGTGGCGATGGCCATGTCTGCCCTGCCCATGCTGAAGGAGAGCGAGGGCAGCATCGTTGTCGTTTCATCCATGGCAGGTGAGCACACAAGGGGTCAGGCTTTCCCTGCCCACGTCCCTTCCTCTGCCTGCAAGGGATCCCTGCAGTGGCTCTTCTTCAAAAGACAGAATAAGGACCATAAGGCAAAGAGCCGCCCCGCTGGGAGTCAGGATCAGCATATGATTTGTACCCTGGATGCACAATTCAAGTCCTCTGGGGGATTTACATTCTATGCCCTGTCCTGCTAGTCTCTTTGCACCTACTAATCACCTTCA